CGCTTATCCGTTGCCAGGCGGAAAGGTGCAGCCGCCAGGCTTATCCTCAACCAGAATGGGGGCCAGGGGGACGAGGCGCAGCCGCCACGCTTATCCTCAACCAGAATAGGGGCCAGGGGGTACAGCCGCCACGCTTATCCGGTGCCAGGCGAAGAGGTGCAGCCGCCACGCTTATCCTCAACCAGAATGGGGGCCAGGGGGAAGAGGCGCAGCCGCCACGCTTATCCTCAACCAGAATAAAGGGGTCAGGGGGTACAGCCGCCACGCTTATCCTGTTCCAGGCAAGAGTGCAACCCAGCCGCCACGCTTATCCTCAAACCAGAATGGGCCATTGGAAGAGCACAGTGCCGCCACGCTTATCCTCAACCAGAATAGGGGTCAGGGGGTACAGCCGCCACGCTTATCCGGTGCCAGGCGACTCAAGCTGAACGAAGCTGGAGGCGGGGACGGGAGGGCTCGCACGAACAAGTGATTTGTCTATCCTCAACCAATATGGGGTCTCAGGTGTTCAGTCTCAAGCTGAACGAAGCTGGAGGCCGCCACGCTTATCCTCAAGTAGAAGGGGGGCGGGGGCGCCCATCCCCACAGCCCTTGTTCCCGAGGTCGGCATGTCTGAGGACGTGGGCGATGAAGGCCCAATTCCTGCACATACCGTGTTGAGCTGTGGCAGAAGGCCAAAACGGGCGTGCATGTCCAGCCGTTCTTGGATTCAGAGTCGTTGCCAGCAGGTAGCCTTGTGAAAGTGCACAGCGCAGCATCCTGTGGCAGCACATCCTTCAACGCCGCCACCATAGCATACTAAGCCTCAAACTGCTATCTAGCATCAACAGATATCACTGGCCTGTGGCCCGGTGCGAGCCTCAGATATGGAAGGCTCCGCCAGTGTCGTCGCAGGTGGTCTTTGATAGCGTTGCAGCGGCCCGTGCTTCTCAGGTCAACTGGCACGACAATGATGTCCGACGACATGAACGAAGACTTCCAAAGCACAGACCATTCGATTCGCGACTCCGACCAGGTGGACCGCGAGGACGGGTTCGATGACTGGGACTGGGTCGGACAGGAGATGCAGCGTGAGGCCGAGGAAGATGCACGTGGGGGAGCAGCATGGGACAAAGAAATGGACATCCAGAATGCATACAACAAACGTCTGGCGAACATGACGGTGAAGTACATGAATATGAAGGGTGATGAGGTTCACGCCTCAAGGCCCTACCCGTGCTGCCAGCTTGAATGCGGCTCGTTCCGTGAAGCTTGGCTGACCACTTTACACGACGGAAACAACCCGGATCGATTTCTCTCTCTGTGCCAGCTACGTGAAAGACGGCAGAAGACCAACAAGCCTTTGCCTCCAGAAATACTACAGTATCGCAGCCCCAGAGAAGTCCTGCTTCACGACCTGGACAGCAGTCGCATTGGACCGATTTGCCTGGATGCCACAAAACTGGCGTTGGGCGGGGATGTGATCACGGATGCCTGGAGTTGGGATGAGCTCTTGGATCGCAGCTTGAGCGATAGCACCGTGCACGTGCACGTGGTCTTCAATTCCGAGCAGTCCAACGGCCGACAGTCCTAGAGCTCCAAATCTGAGCCGCGCGGAGAGAGAATACGAAATGTGCCCCAGGACTGCAGCAAAATGAAAGGGTCAGAGCCACCTGAACCTGAACATGGTCTTATTGAGCTTCTGCACGTTGTGCAAGGTTGCTGCAGCCAGGTGAAAAGGTCAGAGCCGCCCGAACATTACTTTCTTGAGCATGTTGTGCAAAATTGAATTCCTGCCTTACGCGTGCTGAGGCTTGGGCAACCCCGCAGCTTTTCGGCAGTCAGCCCCAGTTGAACTAAACCAATTCGGTAGACTCGTCCTCGTCATGGCCCCCTGCCAGCGATGCGGCTTTGGCATCAGAAGCGGCAGAGGCAGCGGATGGTAAGAACGGGCTGCAAAAGGAGCAGGCAGGCGAGGGCCCTTGCCCAACGAGGACAGCAAGAAAGCAGAACGGCGACAGTCGCGTGAGGCAAGAGCCCGGGGCGAAGCAAAGAGGCACAGCCGCCACGCTTATCCTCAACCAGAATGGGGGCCAGGGGCAAGAGGCGCAGCCGCCACGCTTATCCTCAACCACAATAGGGGCCACGGGGTACAGCCGCCACGCTTATCCGGTGCCAGGCGAAGTGTGCAGCCGCCCGCTTATCCTCAACCAGAAATGGGGGCCAGGGGCAAGAGGACTCAGCCGCCACGCTTATCCCAAACCATAATAGGCGCCAGGGTTTACGGCCGCCACGCTTTAATGTTTTTTCCGGGCCAGCGAAGAGGTTGCAGCCGGCACACCTTAGCCTCAACCAGAATTGGGGCCAGGTCAGAGCGCAGCCGCCACGCTTACCTCACGCAAATGAAGATCCAGGGCATGGTGTAACAGCCGCCACGCTTATCCGGTGCCAGGCGAAGAGGTGCAGCCGCCACGCTTATCCTCAACTAGAATGGGGGCCAGGGGGAAGAGGCGCAGCCGCCACGCTTATCCTCAACCAGAAAAAAGGGCCCCGCCACGGTTATCCTCAACCAGAATAAGGGCCAGGGGGTACAGCCGCCACGCTTATCCGGTGCCAAGCGACGAGGTGCAGCCGCCACGCTTATCCTCAACCACAATGCTTATCCTCAACTAGAATAGGGGCCAGGGGGTACAGCCGCCGCGCTTATCCGGTGCCAGGCGAGGAGGTGCAGCCGCCACGCTTATCCTCAACCAGAATGGGGGCCAGGCGGAAGAGACACGCTTATCCTCACCCAGAATAGGGGCCAGGGGGTACAGCCGCCACGCTTATCCAGTGCCAGGCGAAGAGGTGCAGCCGCCACGCTTATCCTCAACCAGAATGGGGGCCAGGGGGAAGAGCCGCCACGCTTATCCTCAACCAGAAATAAAAGGTGCCCATGGGTACTCCGCCACACTTAATATTCCGTGCCATGCGAAGATGTGGAGCCGCCAACGCTTTATCCCTCAACCATAATGGGGCCAGGGAGAAGACCGCCGCCGCGCTTATCCTCAACCAGAAATAGGGGCCTGGGTACAGCAGCCCGCCACACATTCTCCCAACCCGAATGGGGGCCAGGGGGAAGAGGCGCAGCCGCCACGCTTATCCTCAACCAGAATAGGGGTGCAGGGGGTACAGCCGCCACGCTTATCCGGTGCCAGGCGTAGAGGTGCAGCCGCCACGCTTATCCTCAACCAGAATGGGGGCCAGGGGGAAGAGGCGCAGCCGCCACGCTTATCCTCAACCAGAATAGGGGGCCAGGGGGTACAGCCGCCACGCTTATCCGGTGCCAGGCGAAGAGGTGCAGCCGCCACGCTTATCCTCAACCAGAATGGGGGCCAGGGGGAAGAGGCGCAGCCGCCACGCTTATCCTCAACCAGAATAGGGGCCAGGGGGTACAGCCGCCACGCTTATCCGGTGCCAGGCGAAGAGGTGCAGCCGCCACGCTTATCCTCAACCAGAATGGGGGCCAGGGGGAAGAGGCGCAGCCGCCACGCTTATGCTCAACCAGAGGTGCGTGGTCTCCACTCCAAGAAGATCGGCTTATCCTCAACTAATATGGGGTCCTAGGTGCGTGGTCTCAACTCGAAAAGGATGGAGGCGGGGACCAGGCCGGAGTGCTTATCCTCAACTAATATGTCCCAGGTGGGTGGTCTCAACTCGAAAAGGATGGAGGACCAGGCCGGGGCGAGCATCCTCAACCATTTTGGGGTCCCAGGTGCCTGGTCTCCACTCCAAGAAGACCGGGGCGGGGACGAGGCCGGAGCGCTAAACCTCAACCAATATGGGGTCCCAGGTGCGTGGTCTCCACTCGAAAAGGACGGAGGCCGGGACAAGGTCGGAGCACTTATCCTCAACTAAGAGGGGTCCCAGGTCCGTGGTGTCAACTCGAAAAGGATGGAGGCGGGGACAAGGCCGGAGTGCTTATCCTCAACCAATACGGGGTCCCAAGTGCGTGGTCTCCATTGCAAGAGACCAAGGCGGGGACGAGGTCGGAGCGCTTATCCTCAACCAATGTGGGGTCCCAGGTGCGTTATCCTCAATTAATATGGGGTTGCCGGTGGAGCGCTTATCCTCAACCAATATTGGGTCCCAGGTGCGCGGTGTCAACCTGAAGAAGACGGAGGCGGGTACAAGGCCGCAGCGCTTATCCTCAACCAATACGGGGTCCCAGGTGCGTGGTCTCAATCTGAAGAAGACGGAGGCGGGGACAAGGCCGGAGCGTTTATCCTCAACCATCATGGCGTTCCAGGTGTGTTATCCTCAAGCAATATGGGGTCCACGGTGCGTGGTCTCAACCTGAAGAAGACGGAGGCGGGGACAAGGCCGGAGCGCTTATCCTCAACCAATATGGGGTCCCAGGTGCGTGGTTTCAACCTGAAGAAGATGGAGGCGGGGACAAGGCCGGAGCGTTTAGCCTCGACCAATATGGGGTCCCAGGTGCGTTATCCTCAACCAATATGGGTCCCCGGTGCGTGGTGTCAACCTGAAGAAGACGGAGGCAGGGACAAGGCCGGAGCGCTTATCCTCAACCAATATGGGGTCCCAGGGGCGTGGTCTCAACCTGAAGAAGACAGAGGCGGGGACAAGGCCGGAGCGCTTATCCTCAACCAATATGGGGTCCCAGGTGCGTTATCCTCAACCATTATGGGGTCCCCAGTTCGTGGTGTCAACTTGAAGAAGACAGAGCCAGGGACAAGGCCGGAGGTCAACCAAAGTGCATGGTCTCAACCTGAAGAAGACGGAGGCGGGGACAGGCCAGAGCGCTTATCCTCAACCAATATGGGGTCCCCGGTGCGTGGTGTGAACCTGAAGAAGACGGAGGCAGGGACAAGGCCGGGACGCTTATCCTCAGCCAATATGCGGTCCCAGGTGCGTTATATCCTCAACCAATATGCGTGGTGTCAACCTGGGAAGAAGACGGAGGCGGGGACAAGGCCGGAGCGCTTATCCTCAACCAGTCTGGGGTCCCAGGTGCGTTATCCTCAACCAACATGGGTTCCCAGGTGCGTGGTCTCAACCTGAAGAAGACGGAGGCGCATGCAGAAGTGGTTGCTTATCCTCAACCAATATGGTCTCCCAGGTGCTTATACTCAACCTGAAAAAAATCGAAGGCAAGGGACAAGGCCGGAGGGCTCGCATGGAGAGGTGGTGCGCTTATCCTCAACCAATATGGGGCACCAGGTGCTTATCTTCAACCTGAAGAGCGAACGCAAAATATGCCCCAGCACTGCAGCAAGGTGAAAGGGTCAGAACTGCCTGAACATGGTCTTATTGAGCTTCTGCATGTTGTGCAAGGTTGCTGCAGCCAGGTGAAAGGGTCAGAGCTGCGAACGTTGCTCTCTTGATTTCGCATGGTGCAAGATTGAACTCCTGTCTTGCGCTTGCTGAGGCATGGGCCACCCCGCAGTTTTTCAGCAATCAGCCACAGTTGAACTAAACCAATTCGGTAGACTCGTCCTCGTCATGGCCCCCTGCCAGCGATGCGGCTTTGGAATCAGATGCGGCAGAGGTCGGGGATGGTGCAGCAATCCACGCTGCCGAGAAGCAGAGATGGAAGAGCAGAATGCTACCAAGGCCCGCATTCAGCAGGAACGGGCTGCAAAAGGAGCTGGCAGCCGAGGACCTTTGCCCGACGAGGACAGCAAGAAAGCAGAGCGGCGACAGTCGCATGAGGCAAGAGCACAGGCAACGGAGGAAGGAACAGGCGGCCGAGGACCTTTGCCCGACGAAAACAGCAAAGAAGCACAGCGGCGACAGCTGCATGAAGCAAGAGCACACGCAACGGAGGAAGGAACAGGCGGCCGAGGACCTTTGCCCGACGAGAACAGCAAAGAAGCACAGCGGCGACAGCTGCATGAAGCAAGAGCACACGCAACGGAGGAAGGAGCCGGCGGCCGAGGTCCTTTGCCCGACGAGAACAGCAAAGAAGCACAGCGGCGACAGCTGCATGAGGCAAGAGCACACGCAACGGACGAAGGAGCCGGCGGCCGAGGTCCTTTGCCCGACGAGAACAGCAACAAAGCAGAACGGCGACAGCTGCATGAAGCAAGAGCACACGCAACAGAAGAAGGAGCCGGCGGCCGAGGTCCTTTGCCCATCGCCTCGGAGATTCAGCAACAAGGCTACCCTTTCCCGGACGAAGACTCTTTAACCCCGGAACAAGCACAGGCACAGTACTTGGCTTTTGCACGGAGCTGGAGTAGATTCGGCCTTTCCCGTGTGTGCGAGAAGTGCCAGACCTTGACACCAGCGAGGCACTGCAAGAGAGCCAGAAACACCGAGAGGCTACTGTGCAGAAACTGTCGCGAGAATCGCACAAAGATGGTCTTGCCAACGCCGGACCCCATCCCAGAAGCATTGCAACGACTGCGACCCATCGAGCAGCATCTCCTCGCCATGGCCCGCATCTCGCAGGTCCTGCTGGACAAGCTCCCATCAGGGGGCCCCAGCGCACAATGGGGCCGCATGTACGCCGTTCTCATGCAAGAACCCTTCATCTGCGGAGTCCTCGAAGGTGCAAGCTTGGAGGAAGACGGGACAGTGTTGGTCGAGGGCGTCGGCGGCATGACCGCATCCCCGGCACGCCTGGAGTGTCTCCACGCGGCCCTGCAAGCTTTGAGAGGTCATCACCGCCTTTATCAACAGTGCCCAGCTGTCGAGACAGCCCTGGCACGAATGGCTGCCATTCTGGCCGACAAAGCTCTCGCTGCCTCAGCCGCAAAACCAACAAACCCACCGCCAGCCGCACAAAGAAGAAGAAGAAGAAGAAGAAGTGGAAGTGACGTACCTATTGCCGAAACAATTCCAGGCTCCGAAGGCCGACGTCCACGACTTGCGAAAAGCTCGAGGATCTGCAGACCTCAGCGACGACTTGGATGCGAAGTTCTTCCCGCACCTGTTTCCCTCCGGCTTTGGAGGCTGGCAGAACGAAAACGGTGGCTTCGCCCAATATGCACGGAGGCGTCTGCTGAGCGCGGATGGCCGCTTTGAAGGATCCACGGGCTACATCATGTGGCTCCTAGAGATGAAGACCAAGAAGCGCCTCTCCGGAAATATCAACGTCCGCATCAGCAACCAACGGACACCCGGCAGCAAGAGTGAATACGAGAACGGCAGCCGTCGGGTATATGCAGCCTTGCGGGACATTCCTGGCACGCAGCCCTACCTGTACGCCAAGAAAGGGGTGGCCCTGAACATGTATGAGCAGCTTGGCATTCCCAGCTTCTTCATGACACTCTCCTGCCACGCGCGGCAACCTGCCATGCTCCTCGCGGCTATCTCCGGGCGGCTGCTGCGGCTGCATCCCGAACGGCCGCAAGGAGAGTTGGAGCACCACGCTGCCGAGATCCTGCACCTCTACCAGAACGACAAGAACTTCAAGTGGGATGGGCTTTCGCCCAACCAGCTGTGCAACCAGCAGCCGGCGGTGGTAGCCCGACAGTTCATGCACCAGCTGTCCCAGCTGATGTGGTGGCTGCAGTCCGGCACACATGCACGAAAGTTCCATTTAGACGAAGACGGTGACCCGCAAGATGAGGTCAAAGAGAGCGACGGCGAGGACGCGGAAGACGATGCCCAGGCCCCGGCCCCGGACTCCGCAGGCCTGCACCACCGCATGCGCAAGCAAAGGCCGCCTTTCAAAGTTTTGGATTACATCATTCGCATAGAATGGCAAAAGAGGGGCTACCCCCACGCCCACATATTGCTTTGGATCGAAGAGTGGGCGAAAGCCAAGAAGCAGTCAGATGAGCCGGCGCCCGACAACGGCGAGGCCACGGTCCCAGACTGGTCGGACGAGGAAGCCATGGAGAGTTTCATTCCCAAGTCTGCGGAAGATCTCAGCGACAAGCACATCACCACCAAGTCTCCGAACTCGTGGCGCCAATCCCAGCGTGTAGCAGCCCGAGATAGAGAGGTGAACGCAAAGCTCGCCGCAGAAGTGGTGCACAACCACACGCCATATTGCGGCATGTACACACAAGGCAGCTGTCGATCTGGGTTTCCACACGACCCGGAGCCGCGGACCCGACGGCGAACGTCTCAGGAGCAGTACGCCAAAAGCCGCTGGAAAAGCAGCCTTGCCGTGAGAAGAGTCAAGGGGGACAGCATGATGGGCCAGTACAACATACGAATACTGAGGAGGTGGAGGGCAAGCATGGACTTGCAGGTCATTTGCGAACTCACAAGCGCCAGCCGCTACATATTGGGCTACACTTTCAAATCGGAGGAGGATCGCGACGCGCAGCGTCGCATGGAGAACATCCTGGCCGACCTGACGTCCAGCGCTGCGGGCGAGGGCCTGGACAATCAGAAGGTCTACAAAGCAGCGCACGCAGCGTTGCAGGGCAGGACCACTTCCACCTTCGAGGCATGCCACCTGCTACTGGGTTACCCGATCATCGAATTCTCCAGAGACAACGTTTGGGTGCAAGTAGGACCTCCGGACACCTGGACCGTGTGGGTGCCAAAGCACGAGGAAAAGGTGGCCTTGAAGCAGCCTGACCAGTACCACAACAAGAAGGTCCACCGAAGCGGGGACCTGCCTGCCGCTCATCACTGGTACCGTGAAATGCAGACGAGATTCGGCGACCAAGACACAGCCTTGCCGGTGGAAGGTGGCGAACCGATTTCCTGTCGGTTCATGGACGTCACCTTCCTGGACTTTTGTGCGGCTTTCAAGTTCATAGGCGTCCAAGAGCCACAACCTCGCAAGAAGCCTGCGATCGTTGGCTACCAGAACTTCAACCCGGACGAGGAGTCGGAAGCCTTCTACTACTCCAAGTTGCTGCTGCATCTAGTCTGGAAGGAGCCAGGCGATTGGCTGCTGGAGCAAGACGCGGGAAGCCACGCAGCAGCATTCCATCGCGTCGCTCGAGACGTGAACGGCCACCCGGATTTCCTTCGGTCCAAATGTTTCCCTCAGCTGGATGGGACAGTGAACGCCGCTCGACAGCTGCAGGCCGTGCAGGCCACAATGTATATGAAGGCACATGCATCGGCACATTGTCGGGACGGATGGTTCAACAGCAAGATCGCCGAAGAGAATTACAAAGACTCCTTGCAAGTTTTGGAGGCACTGAGAGAGCGGCATGGAGAAGATATCGACTTCCTTGCCCCAGACACCGTGGCCACGGGGCCTGCAAGCAACGCCTTCGCGCCGGTTGAAGAAGGCGAGGAATCCTTCCAGAAGCTGACGATCGAGAACCCCAGTCCAGAGACCATGCGCCAGAAAGAAGCGATGAACTACATCATCAGCACGATCCTGAAGCCCCCCGATGCAAAGGACGGCCAGACTAGCCAGCGCCTTCACATGCTTCTTCACGGGCCGGGAGGCTGCGGAAAGTCCGTGGTGGTGCGTGCAGCAGCTCATGTCTTGCGGCAAAGCAAGAAGGGATGCATCATCGCGGCGCCCACAGGCGTGGCAGCCTTCAATATCAACGGCATCACCCTCCATCAGTGCTGTTTATTGCCGGTGGTCAACCAAAGCTATGGCAAGGCCTGCGACATGCCACAGCCGGACGGCCAGAAATTAGCCACTCTGAGGGAGATCTGGTCGAAGGTCACCGTATTGTTTGTCGACGAGATCAGCTTCGTCTCTTCGTGGATGCTGCAGCGCCTGGATCAACATCTGCGACTTGCAAAAGACATGCAGACCCTGCCCTTCGGAGGACTGCACGTCATCTTTGCTGGCGACCTGTACCAGTTACCTCCACCAAATGGGCTGCCCGTCTTCGAGAGCCAGCTTTGGCTGCTCTTCCAGCTCTGCGAGCTCGAAGGGAACCAGCGTGCTGCACGAGATCCTGCATGGGCCGCTCTGCTGGCACGGGTTCGAGTGGGGAAGTGCACCGAGGCCGACATTCAGGTGCTGCGGAGCATGGTGATCAAGAAAGGCAGCAGCAAGCGGCCTGCCCCCAAAGCCGTGAACTTGTACGCCACTCGACAAGCAGTCGCCGAAAGCAACCAGCGCTACAAAGAGGAGCATGTTTTACGGGAGCGTGTGCAGCTGCACGACTGCCCGGCAGTCGACACCAATGTGAAGACCGGCGCTTTACTGGCTCCAGAAGATGTCTGGGCCGAGCCTGAGAACACAGGTGGCTTGGTGAGCCTGCTGCAGGTGGCCGTCGGGCTGCGCGTCATGCTCAGGTACAACATCGACGTGCCCGATGGCTTGGTCAATGGCGCTTGCGGCATTGTGGAGCACATCGACACCGAGGCATGCGGCGGGGAGGTCGAGAAGATCT